TGCCCCTGTTTATCATATCCTGCTGAGGAGGGACGAATATGTCCGAAACGCAAAACTGTGTAAGTAACCAGGTATACGAAATAAAATAAAAATTGTTTTCTGTTAATCTTTGTAATATTATCTGTAAAACCAGTATAATAAGTCCTGATAATAGAAGATAGTCGAATTTATAGTCGAAAATTTACATATTAATAAGGAAAAAAGGACATTGAGGCAATTTAATTAATTAAATTAATTAAAGAATATTGTTAAATTATTATTTATATAGTTTTTTTATTTTTAATTAATTTAGTCTAAAATTTATTATGCAATAAATAAACTATATTGATATCTAGTAATAAATAAAGACATTTTAATATTTTTTTTTATAATGTTTACTTCTTCAAAAACTGGTTTTATGGGATGAATAAACACATAAATATACCCAAAACCAGTAAAAGGAATAAAAATATGTACTGATACAAACAATAGTGCCCTCAGATTATCAAAAGGGGGACACAAGATATGAAAAAGGGCATCATGCATTATACTCAAGCTTTAAACTCTATGATTTAATGACAGATCAGAATTTCCACATGGTAGCACTGGTTGATGAAGGAATGTGGTGTTGGTCTACATATAATGAACAAATAACTATGTAAAAATAGTTTCACGAGACAATGGACAAATATTGTTTATTAGTTTCTTTTATATTTGCAGAATAGGCTGGAATTCATGAATTTTCTGTTGTTTGTTGAAAATGAAATTTGGGTCACCATAGGACCAACTTATGGATTAAAAAAAAACATTTTGTATGACGTATGACATTACCTAAGAACTTTTATTTTCGAAGCTATTAAACACGTGATTGCATTCTATTTTTCATATTTTAAAAATTGTTCCAAACAACTGGATTGCAGTTTTAAAAAAATTGTTTTAAACGATTCTTTGCCTGAAGAAGAACCCAGGAGGGGTCTGAAAGCATTTGCATTTACTAATAGATTGTTCTTTGCACCAGTTAAAGGTTTTATGAGCAGTGTTTTGTATAATATACTCTGGTGTACAGTGATTTGCTATTATTAATGGGGAAAGGTTAATTATAAAAGGGGACACTGTGTCAGGTTGTTAAAATTCTAAGTCGTCATAGACTAGACAACAATGGGGTAAAATGAGTGCAAGTTCAAAGTCCCATCTACACCTTCCATCCAGAGTTGACAGATGGTGTCAGGTAAATTTCCCAAAGCGAACCTTTTTGGGACCTGAGTGAGTCTTGTTTTTCACTTAGGGACAAACATGGAACCAATCAGGATAGACAGAAAGGGCACTAGACAAGAGGTGCTTGGCAAGTCAACATAAAGGAGTGAAAATTGGAAGTGCTGTGTCAACACTTGGGACAAATCTTTTCCGTCTTTGTGCCGATACCGAAGCCATGCCTTCACCAACGCTGACCAACGGAGTCTCACGAGCTGTTTAACAACACTGCCCCGGGGGCACCTGTACAACAAACAACTAAAAGAGCATTGATGCTATCGACTTCCAACCAGCTGATTGTGTCTAGAAAATATTTGTTTCTTAGTGTAAGTTTATTTTTCTGCTAAAATAAATGNGACCAACGGAGTCTCACGAGCTGTTTAACAACACTGCCCCGGAGGCACCTGTACAACAAACAACTAAAAGAGCATTGATGCTATCGACTTCCAACCAGCTGATTGTGTCTAGAAAATATTTGTTTCTTAGTGTAAGTTTATTTTTCTGCTAAAATAAATGTGTTTTTGTAAGATACTTGTCATCTCTGTCTCTTCCTCATACCCACGTGTGAATGACCCTAGATCATCTTGACGTGGGATTAATGATCCCCCTAAGAGTTGGAAAACTTACACTGGTGTGAGAAGTGGAATTTTTAGCCCAAAGTTACACTGGTGTCAGTGAAGTGGGATTTTAAGTCCCCAATACCCACCAGGTCAGCAAACTTACAGTATCAGTAAATATTTTTATTCCTTTTACTGGTTTTGAGTATATTTGTGTGTGTTTTCATTTCATACTATTTCTATAAAAATGTTTCATTTTACATTCACATAGAGAAAATTAATAATCTGTTAATATTAACAGAATAAAAGTAAATATATAATTAAAAAAATTTTATTACAACATGTCTCATATTAATGCCATTATTTTTCAGTATGCGGAGGTACTCTATTATCAGAAAGTGGTGTATTTGGAAGTCCTAATTATCCTGATAGCTACCCAATTAATTCAGAATGTGTTTGGCAAATAACAGCTTCTCCAGGAAATAGAGTTCAGTTATCATTTAGGTTTGTATTATTTATATTTTGATTAAGTGAATAAATTCAAAATAATATATTTAATAAAAAATGTATTGAAATATTGCAGATTTTTATTAACTTTTTAATTTATATTTAATTGATACATACAGCATTTTTAAATATTCCAGGATGATTGGGTATTGATAGTCTAAATTTATTGTATAATCATTTTACAGTTTTTTATTTTTTATTAACTAATTTTAAAAAACAAAAATTTGAAAGACTCATTCAAAGAATTAAATTTACTTTCAAATGAGATAACCAATCGAAAAATGTTTACATAGCTTTGAATTTTAGAATAGAATTTTGAATAGAATTGAATTTTATATATTCAAATATATAAAATTATGTTTATATTTTTAAAAGATGTAATGTTATGTTCACAGTTAATAAAAAATAAAATAGGATTAAGTCTAAAATTTTCTTATTAATTTGATGAATGAAATTAGAATAATATTTATCATAATTGAAATGAATTTAGTTAATTAAAAAATAAATAAAGGACATTGTTACAGCCTGTAGTGTTCCCACCTAAATCTTCAATTGACCCAAAACATTTTTGTGGATCTGTTCTGGCCCCAAACTATCTCATACCAAATTTCAGCTTTGAACATGCATGTGCTGTGGTGCAAAAATTTCAAAAAANTACTATATTTTATGCTGTATAAGATGCATCCCCATTTCTGCACAGAATTTTTACAAAAAAGTGTTTAGTGTAATTAAGCCATCTTGTACTTGGCCCCAAAAATTTTTACTATATTCTGGTTTAAAAACAGTAAAATTAGAATGACATTTCTATTTATCAGTGAAAAAAGAAGAGTTTAAAAGTCATTTACAATTAAACATTTACCTTCAAAATATTCTACATGAATACTTGCAAAATTATTTAACTATAGCAAATAATAATAATAAAAAATCAAATCCATGGAAGAGAGTGAGTTTTACAAATATTCAGGATTTCAACAGGCCGAACTTACAGAACATGCACAGATAAAACACTGGTATTCAAGATTAACACTTGACTACCAGAACAGATTACATGCAGTATTAAGAACACAACATCTAGGGCCATTGGTCATTATCCCACAATCTTTGGATGGTGAATGATACAAGGAATGATTATCTGTATGTGTATCTCCAGGCTATGTTTCCTAACAATGATACTATGTTACCAGGCACAGCATACTCAAGAATGGTTGGGAGACCATGACAATGAATTCCATACACTCCTTTAGTCCCAAACTCACCAGACTGAAACCCTATTGAACATATTTGGGATATGTTAGAATGTGTGGTGAGGTTGTTATTCACTTCTCTTCAAAATCTGCACCAATGACAAAACTGATTGAGCAGGCATGGGTCCAGTTAAGAATAGAGGATGTTTGGCATATGGTAGGGTCCATACCCTGGCATTTACAAGCTGTGATCACCCAGAAAGGTGGATCAACCCATTATTAAGCAGGTGTTCTTAATGTAGTGATTGTTCATTGTATATAATAGAAGGATAGTATGTTAGAGAAGTTCCATGAACAGAGTGAAAAAAGACAGTAAGGAATATCATAAACTCTTCACATTTTGTAGTTGCTGTACAATATCCACTTGAGAACTTCAGATCTTCCTCAGGTTGTGGCATGATTTTGCATGTGTTGAGTAAAATAATTTAAAAGTAAAAATTTTTTTTATATTACATAATTATTATTCATATTATATTTCAGTGTTTTCAATATAGAAGAAGAAAGTGAATTTTGCATTAATGATTATCTAGAAATTCGTAACGGAAATATCTCAGGCAGTCTTATAAAAAGATATTGTGGGAATGAATTACCGACTGCTCTTACAGGAGAACATGAATCTTTGTGGATAAAATTTCGCTCTGATGATCAAGGCACTGCTTCTGGATTTTTGGCAAATTATGATTTAAGTAATTATATAGCAATTTTATATATTTCAAAGTTATTCAATAGCATTTTCAATTGCAGAAAGCAAGATTACATTAGCCTTTTCACATTTATCGTCTTATAATGGATCTAATTGTTTTTACCATTACATTAGAGTTAGAGATGGGATGGACTCCACTGCTCCACTGCTTCAAACTTTTTGTGGGTACCAATTACCCCTGCCTGTTATTTCAAATGGCAATGCACTTCATATTGAATATTCAGGTGGTTTATTTAGAGCAGTTTATGGAACAGCTTCTACAGGTAAGAATTATAAATTTAAAGAATATTAATATGTAAATTTTCGACTATAAATTCGACTATCTTCTATTATCAGGACTTATTATACTGGTTTTACAGATAATATTACAAAGATTAACAGAAAACAATTTTTATTTTATTTCGTNTAATAAATATTAGTTTAAAAATTAATATATAATATATGAAATACTATATATTATATACTATATTTGATATGAAGGCTTTATTTGATATTTTAATAAATTCTCATTTTTAATTGCAGAAAGCAAGATTACTTTAGCCTTTACTCATTTATCGTCTTATAATGAATCTAATTGTTTTCACCAGTACATTAAAGTTAGAGATGGGATGGACTCCACTGCTCCACTGCTTCAAACTTTTTGTGGGTACCAATTACCCCTGCCTGTTATTTCAAATGGCAATGCACTTCATATTGAATATTCAGGTGGTTTATTTAGAGCAGTTTATGGAACAGCTTCTACAGGTAAGAATTATAAATTTAAAGAATATTGTTAAATTATTATTTATATAGTTTTTTTATTTTTAATTAATTTAGTCTAAAATTTATTATGCAATAAATAAACTATATTGATATCTAGTAATAAATAAAGACATTTTAATATTTTTTTTTATAATGTTTACTTCTTCAAAAAAACTGGTTTTATGGGATGGGATGAATACACACATAAATATACCCAAAACCAGTAAAAGGAATAAAAATATGTACTGATACAAACAATAGTGCCCTCAGATTATCAAAAGGGGGACACAAGATATGAAAAAGGGCATCATGCATTATACTCAAGCTTTAAACTCTATGATATAATGACAGATCAGAATTTCCACACGGTAGCACTGGTTGAAGAAGGAATGTGGTGTTGGTCTACATATAATGAACAAATAACTATGTAAAAATAGTTTCACGAGACAATGGACAAATATTGTTTATTAGTTTCTTTTATATTTGCAGAATAGGCTGGAATTCATGAATTTTCTGTTGTTTGTTGAAAATGAAATTTGGGCCACCATAGGACCAACTTATGGATAAAAAAAAATGTTTTGTATGACGTATGACATTATGTAAGAACTTTTATTTTCGAAGCTATTAAACACGTGATTGCATTCTATTTTTCATATTTTAAAAATTGTTCCAAACAACTGGATTGCAGTTTTAAAAAAATTGTTTCAAACGATTCTTTGCCTGAAGAAGAACCCAGGAGGGTCTGAAAGCATTTGCATTTACTAATAGATTGTTCTTTGCACCAGTTAAAGGTTTTATGAGCAGTGTTTTGTATAATATACTCTGGTGTACAGTGATTTGCTATTATTAATGGGGAAAGGTTANTTTTGTATATAGATAGATATAGTATTTAGATTTAGAATTCTTTGTTCTTTCCTTTCCTTCTTCTTTCTACTAATGACCATTTCCGGTCACCCGACAGGAGCGGGAAATTCGTGGGTCCTGATTGGTGGCTTATCGAAGTGAACAGGGAGGGGCCCTGCCCGTGGGGTACAGAAGGAGAACAAAGGGGTGAGAAAGACACTTTTTGCCCGGGCGACGAAGAGAAGAGGTTGTGAAAGTATCGTCGGGACATTAAGTCGGACCTCGAGGACAAAGAACAAGCTGAACATGCTGAGTATAGAGAAGTCCAAAAAGAAAAGAAAAGGACTAGTGACTTGTCCGATAAGAATTAGTGGTTTACAAAATCCAAGTGACAATTAACATCCCAGGAATGTTGGATATTCCAATGTCGATCGATAAAATCCCCACAATCATCGGAAACCCCAATCAGGACCTCCTGTGCTAAATACCGGTAGACTTTTCCTTCCTTCCTTTTCCTCTCATTAGTGTAGTTTTAGATTAAGTTAGTTATAAGTTAATTATAAGTTAGTAATTAGAATCCGTATCGTGATAACAACTCATTGTAAGAATCCGAACGAGAACAGAGACTTGTTATTGTGGGTCATTTGCAGGAAATTGCAACAATTGTTAATTATATTAGTGAATTGGTATGATAGTATAGTCAGGAATGAACACTAGAAAATGAGATTTTGGCAAACTTTGTGAGATTTTAGAATCCTCAGAAAATTGATGGCAATGGCAAAAATCTGAANACATTGTGGGTCATTTGCAGGAAATTGCAACAATTGTTAATTATATTAGTGAATTGGTATGATAGTATAGTCAGGAATGAACACTAGAAAATGAGATTTTGGCAAACTTTGTGAGATTTTAGAATCCTCAGAAAATTGATGGCAATGGCAAAAATCTGAATGCTACTAAAAACAGTGTAAAAATTCAAAATAAAGTGTGTGAAAGCTTTACGATTAACAATGAATTGAAACAGGTTTATAAACTATCACCTCTGCTTTTCAATCTGACATTGGAAAAGGAAATCAGAAAAGTTAAACAAACAGGAAAAGGAATGTATTTAAATGTAATCCAGCAGGTAGGGATGTCTCAATACTGCCAATACTGATACTGTATCAATACTTTCCTTCAATACCAAGTACTTTCTGCACTAGATACTTTTAGTATGATACTGATACTTTAAACTGAAATACTGATGACACACTACCTTTTGAATCAGATAGCTGGGATTCAGTTTATGGAGTAAGCAACAAAATATTAATTGCTGCTCTGGATCCCACACAGCCTTCATTGTAGTAAGTACAGTATCTTTTCACCAGTAAAAACAACTGGAAGGTGATGCAACAGACTGAACAGCAACATCTAGCAAGGTTTCCAGTTTTGATACCTGATACTGGCTGGTATCAATACTATAAGATCAGTACCAATAATCAATAATCAATACTTTAAGATTGATATTGATACTGGTATCACTACTTTAAAATTATTCTTGATAACAGTATTGATACTTTTGTAGTATCAGGACATCCCTACCAACAGGATTTTGTTTTTGTTGATGACATCTTGTTAATTGAAGATTTTACAAGTACTATATTTTATGCTGTATAAGATGCATCCCCATTTCTGCACAGAATTTTTACAAAAAAGTATTTAGTGTAATTAAGCCATCTTGTACTTGGCCCCAAAAATTTTTACTATATTCTGGTTTAAAAACAGTAAAATTAGAATGACATTTCTATTTATCAGTGAAAAAAGAAGAGTTTAAAAGTCATTTACAATTAAACATTTACCTTCAAAATATTCTACATGAATACTTGCAAAATTATTTAACTATAGCAAATAATAATAATAAAAAATCAAATCCATGGAAGAGAGTGAGTTTTACAAATATTCAGGATTTCAACAGGCCGAACTTACAGAACATGCACAGATAAAACACTGGTATTCAAGATTAACACTTGACTACCAGAACAGATTACATGCAGTATTAAGAACACAACATCTAGGGCCATTGGTCATTATCCCACAATCTTTGGATGGTGAATGATACAAGGAATGATCATCTGTATGTGTATCTCCAGGCTATGTTTCCTAACAATGATACTATGTTACCAGGCACAGCATACTCAAGAATGGTTGGGAGACCATGACAATGAATTCCATACACTCCTTTAGTCCCAAACTCACCAGACTGAAACCCTATTGAACATATTTGGGATATGTTAGAATGTGTGGTGAGGTTGTTATTCACTTCTCTTCAAAATCTGCACCAATGACAAAACTGATTGAGCAGGCATGGGTCCAGTTAAGAATAGAGGATGTTTGGCATATGTTAGGGTCCATACCCTGGCATTTACAAGCTGTGATCACCCAGAAAGGTGGATCAACCCATTATTAAGCAGGTGTTCTTAATGTAGTGATTGTTCATTGTATATAATAGAAGAATAGTATGTTAGAGAAGTTCCATGAACAGAGTGAAAAAAGACAGTAAGGAATATCATAAACTCTTCACATTTTGTAGTTGCTGTACAATATCCACTTGAGAACTTCAGATCTTCCTCAGGTTGTGGCTGTCTGCCATTTTTGTATATACATAGCTATAGTATTTAGATTTAGAATTCTTTGTTCTTTCCTTTCCTTCTTCTTCTTTCTACTAATGACCATTTCCGTTCACCCGACAGGAGCGGGAAATTCGTGGGTCCTGATTGGTGGCTTGTCGACATGAACAGGGAGGGGCCTTGCCCGTGGGATATAGAAGGAGAACAAAGGGGCGAGAAGGGGACACTTTTTGCCTGGGCCACGAAGAGAGGAGGTTGCGAAAGGATCATCGGGACAGTAAGTCGGACCTCGAGGACAAAGAACAAGCCGAACNTAAAAGCACATAGATATGAATGAATATGTTTTCATTTAATTATTTATTTATAAAAATGTTAATTATTTAAAGTTGTTTGAAAATAATTACAGTAGAGCATCGATTATCCGAATATTGATCAACTGAAATGTCAATTAACCGAAAGCTTTCCAGTCGGCAAATTTAAATTTCTGCTAGTGCTGTGGCACTGCAATATTTGGCTATGTCTTGGGCTACTCCAATATTATTTTTGTTGGTGTGCATGTTTTAGCTGGCAGCACTGGCATGACCATGAGAGGGTATTTAAGAACGTGCCAGGATTTGAACGAATTTCAACATGGGATAGGTTAATGTATTTTTCTGTACATAATCAGTTATCCAAAAAATCGATTATCTGAACAACCCCAGTCTCCAATTGATTTGGATAATCGGTGCTCTACTGTATTTCAATCCCAAAATTTTTTGTTAATGTTTTTGAAGTTGATATTGAATAAAAGCTAAGAAAAGAAAAGTAGTACTTTAGGGAATAAATTTCTAATTAGTAAACAATACCTTAATAGATATTATACTACATACATTGAGATAGACGTAACAAATAACATATATATATATATGTGTGTATTTGTCTCTGATGGGCATCACTGTATTATCTGTTAATCCCGGTTGTAATAAACTATTGTTTAGTTGGTATTTGTTGGAATACTTGTCTCGTACATCTTTAACCCTCACAAGGTCTAGTTTTTCTAGGAAGATTATGAATCCAAAACAAACGTTTCAAATGTATATTCTTTTTATGGAATATTTAACAAATTTTTTAATTCAAAATTATTGTATTGTTTAATTGTTTTGGATTCATAATCTTTCAAGAAAAACTGGACCTTAGGAAGATCCAAAAAGAGAAGGATCAAAAATGTTAGTTCATTTCTACACACATGATATATTAGTTTACACAAGGGTTCTCAAGTGGATATATGACAGTAAGGAAAACAATTCAGGAAGCAACAAATCTTTAAGCATTAAAAACAATGCTGAACATGAAAAAAGTTACTGGTATTTGGATAGCATAGCTATAGGACACACATAAATGGGGCAAATTTTATGAATCAAAAGGAACAATGAATGGAGGCATAAATGAAGAAAATGAAAATGGATATGAAAAGTTTTCACTCCATTAGTAGAATCACTGAAACTTTGAATCATACTAATACCAAGAGAGTGGTAAATAATGACAATGTGTTGCACAGGAGATATATTTAGACATATTTTTGACTGATATATGGGTTATTCTTGATGAGGCAGATATTATACAATCAGAAGCCATTTTGAAATGCTAGACTAATAATTTTATTAACTCCACATTGAGATCTGTGAGCTTAGAGTAGTGAGTGTAGGTGCATCTGATTTACATGCAGAAGGCCACAATATAACTGAATTGCTGTTACAGCTTTATCCTCCTTTGCACAACTTCCTTGTACTGAGGTAGATCAGTAGGTATCCAAAATCTTCAGAATAATCTCTTACTCTTCCATACCATACCAGCATTATAGAAAATTTATAACAACACTGTTGCATGTTTAAATAGTAAGGACAAAGATTTCCTCTCCTATCTCACAGTATCTTCTTTAATTTTTTGCATTAATTGTGACCATTGTAGTCTATCTTCTTTTCTTGTTTACTTTATCTAATCTTTTTTCTTAACTGATACCAGCATTCAATTTTCATTCTTCTATACCTGAAGATAGTCAAAAAACATTAACATTCCTTTAGCTTCATTTGCTATCAAAATTTAAAGATGCATAAATTCAATGGTTAGTTTAACTCAAGTAGATAATTGTCTACAGTGTAAGATTGTCGGATGTCCTGGATTTTTTCTGACTGTCATCTAGTGACAGGAGGATTTATTCTGAAAACTGTTTCTACAATGTATCAATAGTTTCTTTTTCCACATTTGAAATGTATTTCTGTTACTGACAAAGTAAAATTACACATCTATTACATGTTCTGGAATTGAATAATCTCATTATCTTTTGGGAAAAACTCATTTTGTCCTGGAATTTATCCCAAGTACAGTACCTGACAACCCTACTACAAGCTAGTTTATTCAGTTTGTTTTCATTGATGTTAGTAAATAGGAGCATCAGTTTTTAGTAATGTAACTTTTGGCCATAATAATTTTAAAAAATTTATCTGATGTTCTAGTATAATTAAAACATGAAAATCATAAAAATATTTATGAAAGTAATAAAAATATGAAATTACAAATGTTTTTATATAAAACTTATTTATATTTTAGACAATATTTATTTAATAATTAATTATGTTATAGTGTTTTTATTTCTATTTGAAACTAGTTATTACAAATTACCTAAAAATTTATTTTTATGTAATATTTTATAGTTCATGGAATTACTATTATTAACGAAACTGAAGGCAATATTGCATCTCCAGGATATCCTCATTTCTTTAATAGGGAAGCTGTATTTAAATGGACAATAATAGTTCCACAATCTATGTATATCAAAATTGAATTTTCAGAAATAAATTCAGGAGGAGCAAGTGATAGTTGTAATTCATATGTTCAGGTATGGTAGATTTTGTAAAATTAATTGATTTAATAATAAATCACAATTTTTAATAATTAGAGTTAAATATTGTAGTTGGATTTTGATTACAAGAATTACCTTCAAATAACTTTAAATAATTGACATTTTTATAAATAAATAAAAGCACATAGATATGAATGAATATGTTTTCATTTAATTATTTATTTATAAAAATGTTAATTATTTAAAGTTGTTTGAAAATAATTACAGTAGAGCATCGATTATCCGAATATTGATCAACTGAAATGTCAATTAACCGAAAGCTTTCCAGTCGGCAAATTTAAATTTCTGCTAGTGCTGTGGCACTGCAATATTTGGCTATGTCTTGGGCTACTCCAATATTATTTTTGTTGGTGTGCATGTTTTAGCTGGCAGCACTGGCATGACCATGAGAGGGTATTTAAGAACGTGCCAGGATTTGAACGAATTTCAACATGGGATAGGTTAATGTATTTTTTTGTACATAATCAGTTATCCAAAAAATCGATTATCTGAACAACCCCAGTCTCCAATTGATTTGGATAATCGGTGCTCTACTGTATTTCAATCCCAAAATTTTTTGTTAATGTTTTTGAAGTTGATATTGAATAAAAGCTAAGAAAAGAAAAGTAGTACTTTAGGGAATAAATTTCTAATTAGTAAACAATACCTTAATAGATATTATACTACATACATTGAGATAGACGTAACAAATAACATATATATATTTTTTAAAGATGAATGAAAGAATTCTTTTTTAAATAATAAAGCTTTTAGTTCCTTAAAAGCAGCTTTAAAAATTTTAATTATTATTAATATAAAAACCAGATTGTCTCCAAACATTTATAAACTTATCTAAATGTTGATTTTTGTCATTAGAAAGAAATAATTGTTATTTAAGTTATTTAAAATTTAATGTTTATAGTATTTATAATAAACAACAAAACTGTATTTAACTAATGAGTATACAAGTTTTTCTTGTTTTTATTTTTGTATTTTTGTAACTCCAACTCCAAAGTAGGTGCCAAACTTCTATGAAATAATAAAAGAGACCTGCTGCAATGTGTAAAAAGTCTGTATCTGTATGAATGTGTGAAGTAAGTGTTCCTCCACCTCCTCCTCACAACATCTGACTACTTGGCATAATTGGTGACTGCTCCATTTTCATTTTTTTTTTTCATGGTACAGTAAGGTTATTTTATGCTGCAGATCGAATTATATGTTTTAACATGTATTTCTATGGGAAAATGCGTTTCATATAACGGACTTTTTACTTAACAGACGTGCACCTGGAATGGATTAAGTATGTTATACGAGGCACCACTGTACTTCATTCAAGCAAGAAGTCATTTAAATTTATAGAATGTTATTCAACTTTATTGTTTTTTTTTTAGAAACTGATGATAGTCACTAAAAGTGATTGAAATTTTCATTGTTTGTTTTTATGTGACTGCTGGTTTGAAACAGATAATTTATTTTGTTCATAAAGTATTGAAAATATAGCATAATTGTATTTTAAAAAGTAATAATATAATCAACAAACATATGGATATATAATAGCTATTTAAAGATTATAATATAATCTTAAATAATGGATGTCTTAATCTTTTAATTTTTAACTTTAACTTCAAATTTTATGCTGATAAGAATTTCATAGCAAAAATAAATAAATAAAATTTTAACATAGTTATAAAAAGTTATTTATAGGCACAAATTACAAAATTAATGTCAGAACTAAATTGTTTTTTAATAAAAAGTTTTTACAATTATTTTATGAAAGAAAGATATTGTTTTGTTTATATATGCTTTCATTATTTTAATTAATGACATTTTTATAAAAAGGTATTAAATGGAATGAATGAATATGCCTCAGAAATGGGAAAATATTGCAGTCCTACATTGCCTGAACCAATTGTTACTACAATAAATGCTGCTACTATAGTATTTTCATCAAGTTGGTATACTAGTATGTATTGGTTTTTGCATTGGACGGCAACTACTGAAACCAATTTTCCGTCTACCTATGGTGGTAATGAAATTTCTTAGAATTTGCATTGAATTAAATTAATTTTAATTAGGTTAAGTTTTATTTATTACAATTACTTGAATACATACACTAATATTTCCAAAACAATATTCTCTCAAGATTTATTTAGTTTTTCACATTTTAAGATATTTTTACAATAATTTTAAGTATTGTATACAAACAGTGCTGGGATTCAAATAATTTAACAACCATTTTGCTACACTAATGACCATTTTAAACATAAAAAACAATATTTATTTATAAGTTTATGGGTAGGTCTTTACAGAATTTTTTACACCAATTCATCCTGCACATTGAAAAAATATACAAAAAAAAATACTAATAGTAGTAGTAAAAATAAACTAAAATACACAATATAACATAATATCTTAAAATAAATATTGAGAATGGCTGGATTTTATTGTGTCCACCAGTTGTGAGTATCCAAATGAGACAGATCAATGTTAACTAACAATTGGTTAAAAATATTTCCTTGTGAAAGGTGAGAAATGCGTTACAAATGAAACAAGGCAAATACCAGTTGAATTGCATTTTTTTAATCAAATAAAGGGAACAGATATCAGTCTAACCAACAACTTCTCGCNATCAATGTTAACTAACAATTGGTTAACATTGATCTGTCAATATATCCTTGTGAAAGGTGAGAAATGCGTTACAAATGAAACAAGGCAAATACCAGTTGAATTGCATTTTTTTAATCAAATAAAGGGAACAGATATCAGTCTAACCAACAACTTCTCGCACTATCACTGGATAATCAACACACTAGAACCTTTTTCAAATCTCAGTACAAACAGATTTAGACAAAATGTCAGTCTGCCTGTTATAGAGAACAAAAATATATTTACACTAATTCCCTGCTCTTGCTGATTTTCCTGTGACAATTAATTACTACACAATTCAGCTTAAAACTAAAACTATCACTACTTAAGAACTAGATAGAAAAAGAAGAATGAAGACTGGTTAAAGAGTATACTGGCAGCTTAGATTGGGGTCCTTATAACAAAAAATAATATGGATGATGATTGCTGTATAGACGGTAGATGTTCAATCTGTTTACATTGGAGTAATGATAACACATTATCATTAAATATTGCTGAGGAAGGTTTCCTTTGGCTTGGATGGGCAAGTTCACTTACTTAGTTCTGTATGATTATACTACTTAGCTTGGTGTCACTGTTCACATATGGTCTACACTATCTCCACTTTCCTATCTCTCTAGGCTTCAGCGTCCTGGTCGCTTCTCAACTTACTTGGTCTCCCTCACTAGACTTCTTATCTCATTGATGACAAACCCAAAAGTGACTCTCCTTAACTCCTGTTTTCCCAGGTTTCCCACAGGCAGGACCTTTTCTTTTCCTTTTTGTATTCTGGGCCCATGAACAGTAAGGCTCCTATCATGTGACTGGAAAGGGTTGAAGACAGAAGGAAGAAGAATTACAGAAAGAAGAACAGAGTTCCTATTCTGTATACAACTACATACAAAAACAAACATGGCAGACAGCCACATTCTAACATAACAAAAAGGATTATAAAAACATTGCTTTAAATATCCCTAACAAAAAGCAACAATAAAACTATGGTTTAAGATATTTTCATATTACTTCATGATTGGTATCTTTTTTTTGTAATTGCTTTGCTTTTATTTGAGGATAATCAATTGTGTGAGTAATCTTTACCTTCCTCCTTATCCGAAACTCTTCAGCAATAAAAATCAATGTCTTAATATTTATATACAAAATCATCCCAGAAATGTATTTATGTTCTGCATTTCTCAGATCCAGAAGCACAGATATTCATTTTGATGATATGAAACCGTGCTTTGCAATGTGCTTAAGAGCCTGAAACGTGTAATTTTTTCACACGTATCAACTAAATAAAGATGAGAAAATCCGCCAAGTGTCTTAATTTATAGCACTTTATTGTGTCAGAAGCATAAAAAGATATTTATGTTTAGTGCTTTTCACTTGTACCTAGGGATGTCCTGATAATGTTGAGACAAATACTATATCAATACTTTCCTTCAATACCAAGTACTTTTTGTTGAAACTTTCTATTATTTACTTGGATATTTGACACTTCAAAAACAGTTGACTGGAAAATTATCAGATAAGTCGCAATTTAAAACTTCAATTTCTACACATAGGTGAGATAGTAATTCAGAACATATCGTTAGATCTATTACCGAACTTCCAATATTAGCAACACAAATAAATTCAGATGGATAGTCAGTTTTTATTCTTCCGTTTAAAATTATTAATTGCGATTGTTGAGTACAGTCGACCCCCCTATAAGATCATTGATTTTTCCGTTTTATCTGAATTACATGTTGTACGAGTCACTTAGATTTTACAAATACGTGTGCCGGACTGTGAATGGCTCACATATTTGTAAAATCTAAGTGACNTAAGATCATTGATTTTTCCGTTTTATCTGAATTACATGTTGTACGAGTCACTTAGATTTTACAAATACGTGTGCCGGACTGTGAATGGCTCACATATTTGTAAAATCTAAGTGACTCGTACAACATGTAATTCAGATAAAACGGAAAAATCAATGATCTTATAAGGGGGTCGACTGGTATTTTTTATTAGTTGAAGGCCCAATCTGTTATATTTTTTTTATCTTTTGATTCTCGGTTAAAGTGAATTAGATTATTTGGACCTTTATATTCTGAATCTATTATCTGTGCAATTCTGGAGTTAAAATCACCAAATATATGGAGAGATATTTTACTATTTTTTGAGATTTTTAAATATTTCATTTAGTAAGTCTAACTGATCTGGTGGAACGTAAACTAACATTACTATAATTAAGTTTTTTGAATAAATATTTTATATCAGAATTTTCGATTTGTAATAAGATTAAAATATAATTAGCTGCTTTTTGTATAAATTTTATGGAACCAATGTTTTTCTTAACATTAGACAAAGGCCTCCATGCAGTCTCCCAGGTCCTACTGATTTCTGTGCATCAGCAGATATAATTGTATATTCTATTCTATTTTTGATAGTCACACCAGTTAGTTTCATTAACTGGTGTGACGTTTCAGTTATAGCCAAAATAACAGTATTATATAGTAATTGAGAAAACTTCTGACTTTATTTTGTGAATTAAGTCTTGGCAATTCCAGTTTATGATTTTTAATTTAAGATTATTTGAAATTTTACTACATTGATTATTTTCACATTCTATTTCTGGATTAATTATGTTATTGGGTTTTTCTGTAGAGAATACAACAAAAAATCATCAGCATATACTAACTGATCCTGAATATAACTATATGTAATTTTTTGACAATTTATTATCAGATAGTCATCATGCAGTTTTAGTTGTAATCCTTGTTTCTTAAAATCCGTATAATATGGTAAAAGTTTTTTCTTCTTTTGCGGAAATCTTTATTTAAATCAGCTGACATATTAATATCTTGCCAATTTCCTAGTGTCTTATTATATTTCAACTTATTAAAGGCTGCAAGGATTCTATTTCTTAATTGATTTGATTTTAATACTATGCACTTAATATGAATATTTGAATTGGGTATTAAGTGGATATCTTCAATGTCTTCTGATTCATTGCATACTATTTTTAATATATTAGAAAAAATTTTACTAATTCATTTTTAGAAATATCTTTAAGCTGATTTGTATAATCATATACAGTAGATCCCCCTATAAGACGGTAGATATGTTCCGTTCTTTATGAATCAATTTTGTAGGAATCATAGTTTACGGACTACAGCTGTTTGAAAGGTTTTCTTTCATAAAATTAATCGATTCTAGACTTATTCGACTCAACATTTCCAAAATACGTATATTTTTTTGAAAATAATCCGTATAAACTACGTTATAAACAAAAAATTGTAGGATTGCTTACTGAGTGTGTACCGTTCGACAACGCCCGATGCTAAAGCTTGGTTTCGTCGCGGAACAGCGCATCAAACCGCGGCCGCGATTTCTGATATTATTTTTCTGGGAAAACTTCGTTGACCTTTGGAGACATCCTTAATATAAATAATTTTTACGGCCGTTAAATAAGAAATGTTTCTTTCACAAGAAATGTATAAAATTACAGTACTGGACAGACGATAGGTCGCCTAACTCGCCGTAGCGTGACGCTAGACGGCGAAAAATATATATTTAATTATAATAAAGTTACAATAAATTAAGTTAATATATAATTATATGTACAGTACCTAATTTATATATAATTATATGAACAGACGATACTAAACTCAATTTATCAGCCTAAACGTTTACGTATTATAGGAGTTATTTTTACCGTTGTTTACGGATACTGCCACAATTTTTATAGGAATCATAACTATAGGAAACGGTTTTATAGGGGGATCTACTGTACTGCCACAATTTTTATAGGAATCATAACTATAGGAAACGGTTTTATAGGGGGATCTACTGTATTATTATTTTATTATTATTCATAGTGTTAGTCATAGTATCCAGTTTATATTGAGTTAATTCATTTTCTAGTCTTAATTTGGTAAATTCTGTTTCTATTTCATCATTTCTCATATTAATTTGTTGAATTTGATCTTTAAATTCTTTAATTTCATTTTGAATTATATTAATTTCTTGTCTTATAAGTGTAAATTGACTCACCAGCTTATCATTACTATTGGTTATCAATTCAACTATCTTATTCCATAATTCTGCTGTTGAAATGTCTATTTGTTCCGCAGGCAATTGTTCTTGTGAGGAGGTTAAATTAATTATTTCACCTGTTTGGAATGATGATTTGGCTTTTGTAGGTTCAGTATATTCAGTGATAAGATCTGATTCTGGTTCCAATGATTTGATATTATTAGTCAGAAATTTTTGATGAGGAAGTCTTCCTCTCTTTGTGGGAGTTTTCTGTAAGGGACCAGGATTCGGTTCTATTCCAGCAATTAGTAATAATAAAATAAGAAACTTAATATTATTCATTTTAGTTGAAAATAATTTAATAATCTTCATTTCTTGAAAAATTAGACAAACTATGGAAGTGTAGAGAAATTCACGCCAATAGCTGTGACAATCAGAGTGCCCCCCTTTATAAGTTAAATAAATATTTAGTTAAACATTATGTAGCAATTTTGTTTGTTAATCAACCTGGATCATCAGAAATGTTTAAAATGAGCTACAATTTGTATATACTTTTTTGCACTAACATTTGTAAAATTTTGACACATTAAAGAACTTTTAATGTAAAGACACTGTTTATTTCAACGATTTTTATCTACCTATATCCTATGTATAGTAGTATCCACAGAGCTTGTACTGTAGATATGGAGATCCTTTTGTATATATGACATTATACTAGTATGAACTGAAGTACTGAGTGACACACTGACTTCTGAACCAGATAGCTGAAATTGAATTCTCTGATTTAAGCAACAAAATATAATTTCTGTTTTGGGGCCCACTCAGCCTTCATTGTAAGAGTACAGTATTTTCTCAATAGTAAAAAACAACCGGAAGGCAGTCCAATGGACCGAACAGCAACATTTCGTAAGATTTCTAGTTTTGATACTTGTTGCTAATATCAACCTGTATTGATACTTTAAAACTACTCATGATACCAGTATCAATACTTTTGTGGTATCATATACCAGTATCAATACATCAACTCATGGGTACATGAAGGTACAAGTAGGGATGTCCATCCCTACTTGTACCTTCATGTATTTATGAGTTGAGCATAAAATATCAGATGCTTGTGATAGGTGGTTGTAGATCATTTGAAATCACAGCAGCAAAGAGTTCTCATTTCCATTTATGAATGAGAATTTTTCTTTTAAACACCTTTAAGTATTGGCTTTACTTAAATAATAGCCATCCTCAAAAAATAACTGTCTTGAATAATAGCCTAGTCTACTATTTGAGGATTTCTGAGAACTTAGGGAAACAATGTAGAATTAATAAATACCATAAACTGTTATATCTAGGTATCATATTTATTTATTTAACAAGCAGATAATAGAAAATGAAATAATATGTAAAATGTACTATATATATAGTAGGTATAGTCTTCTTATTAATTGTATATAGAAAGTAACATTTGGTATAAAGATACAAGTTGCCATTTCAAGTATAATTTGTTTTAAAAATCAAACTTTCATAAACAAATATTTAAATATTTTTATTAACAATGCACAACAAACAATGTGAAAAAGAAATAACAACAGTCCTTAAATAATAACTGACCTCAAATAGTAACTGTATAGAAAATATACTGTTTAAAATAGTAGCTGTGGCTATTATTCAAATAAAGGCAGTATTTGAAGTAATTTCTAACATGATAAATAATTTTTAAATATTTCAAGTATTTTGAAATATTTCTAGACTTAAAAGTTTTAGTATTTGAATTTTTGAGTACAATACTTCTGGTGTTTAATAATATAAAATACTTCTATTTACATTAAGTATTAAATATTTGACTTTGCAAGCTTCGATTTCAGTATTTATATTTGAATTAATTTTTTTTTGGTATTTTGTCATATCTGTTCCTGAAGATGAGCCAAAATGCTTGAAAATAGTTGGGAATTAAGAAAGTATTCTAAAGATTCCAGTAAAGCAGAGTACAGTGCAATTTGTTAAAAACAAAATTTAATTAATGTAAAAATAATTCCAAGTTCTTTAAAAAATATAACAAAACAATAAACTACTTTATTGGAATTCACTTTATTGAGAAGTTTCTCTCAAATACTTTTGGACAACCAAGCTTATTGTCAGATGTACAATACAAGAGCATGAAATAAAATATATTAAATAGAAATGAATATTTTTTTTAACATATTAACACAATTTTGAATTTCAATTTACCATAAAAAAAAGATAAAATTATTTTTATTATATTCACTAGCTCCCAGAAATATTTTGACTTCTAGATAGATCCAAATGATCTTTCAAAAGTCTGGAGAGTTGGAAATCATTATTCTGCATCATTCTAATCAATTAATTGAAATGATATAGATTGATTGATGTTTATTAAAATAAGAAGTTTATTGTTTTGTAACAAAATTTACTTCTTAAATTTTTTCATAACTTTGACATTACTTATTAATTTAATTTTTAAAAGAATAATTAAATTAAAATTTTGATGTTTTTTTTTATTTTACAGTTTCATCATCTTGTTGGAGTGATTCATATATCAATGCATCATCATCTATTAATTTCACTTCTCCTAATTATCCAGATGGATATGGAAATAACCGAAATTGTACATGGATATTACGCACTGATGTGCATCGTCATATAAAATTAAATATTTTAGATTTTAAAATTGAAGGATATACCAGTTGTTATTATGATTTTTTCACTGTTTATTTTGGTAAATATTATTTTTATATATTTTATATATGTATATAATAATTATTATTGTTATTATTATTATATATATTGTGGCTGTTGGCCATATGGTTATATATTTTATCATTAGTTTGTAAGATAGTTTTTAATAGCTCCTTATTCTCTTTGTTCTCAGTCTGTCTAGAACTTTCTTTTCATTTATTTTCTTTCCTCTGGATGAGACCACCGATTCCAAGAACTGAAGACAATGGACCACTAACCCCCAGAACTAAAGACAATGAGTTACCAGTTTCAAGAACTTTAAACAAAGCAGGAGCCAAAGCCCAAGGGCTGATGAGAAAAAAAGAACAAGTTAGTCTGGACTGGACTTTCGTGGTAGTCAGAAGTGAGAGAGAGGAGTGCTCGAGATTGGAGGTGACTTGTGGCTGAATAATTCTGAGGAAAGGACAATTTTGGTTACTTTAGATGAATAGAGAACTCTAGGGTCAGCGTTGGATCAATGTCCTGACATTAGAAAGAGAGAAATGATGATCTACATTGATATATAACTGTGAAATTCAAGGTGGTGACCATGAGATAATCCTAAAACACCGGGTATTGTGATCTTTCCCCTTTCCTGTCTACTGTCTCATAGAATCTGCTATGCCTTTAGCTATAAATTAGTAAGTAAGAGTTAGATTTAAGTTCCTACATGCATACTATTGTCGCAAATTTACTTGCAGTGCTAAACAACCGATTACTGCGTATAGTGTAAATTTCATGGAGGGGATCCAATAAGAACCTAGTTCATGAATGGCAAATAAAATACTTGTGATTAACTGTATACTGTGTATTTTAAACCGTATATATATATATATATATATATATATATCTTCACTTCACCTTCGTCTGTCCTATTTGTTTACTCTTCTATAATCACCTTTACGAGAAATAGTTTATGGCTTTTCGTAAATGACATCCCATTTTGCGTCTTGCTAATAATTCTTTAATTGACTTACCTTCTCCTATCGTCTTCCCATTGACTTTAGTGTGTGGGTGGACTGAGAAGAAAGGAATGAATGGAAAGCTTTTGAGAGGGGATATGAGTGGACTAAGCTGAGAGGAGGAACGAGGGGGAGTTAAGAAGGGGGAAAACGAAGTGAGTTAGGGGAGAGGAGAAACGAGGCAGATTGGAAGTGACATGAGAAGGGAAAGGACGGGAGACGGAGAGGAAGGAAGTGGATAGGGGAGATCAAAAGGAAAGTTTCCTCTGTAAGTTGGACATTGTATGGTGAGATGAGAAATAGAGAACTTTAGAACAAGAGGAAGAAAAAGGAACTTAAATGAGAGGAACCAGACGGATCGCTTTTTTTGGCTTAATATCTCAGTGTAAAACAAGAATTGAGTGAATCAGCCCCTCCCCCCCAGACCAACGAGAAGCCTCATCCACGAGCCCACACAATTCAACCTGCATCATCAAGTTTTGGGTACCTCTTTTCTTATTCTTTTCTCTCACCTTCTAAATCTTCGAATAAGCCGGCTATATTCAATTAGTTTAAGTGAAAATAGGAACCTAGTATTAAGTAAGATAATTTTAGTTAATCGGATGTTCGGTTCGGAAAAAGGGTCAACTAGAATTGTTGGTATCTTATGAAATCCTGTATTTGAACTAGCGAGTTAATAAATAATTGTGTTGTATGTTATCTAATCCGGATTGTGTGCCTTTATATAACTCGCAGGAATCACAATACAAACATCCAGCCTATACTGGAATTCATGTGATTTTTTAAAATTAACAAATAATTAAAAATTGCAGCTTGGCATTGTGATGATGTCATAATAAATAATTGCTTGATCAGGTTAAATTATGTTTTTGATATACAAAAAGCTTTCCTATTTCTGCTTTGGATAGGTTTCTGGCTAATAGTAGAATTTAATCTTTTCCTTATTTTGAAACAAGCAGGTGCAATCTGTCCTGGGGATTGACAATGTTTTATTTTAAATTAAATAATACTTACCATTGTTTTTTTTCATTTCATATACATTATACTCATTGTAATATGGCTGCTATTTATTGGTGTCTATATGTAATGTCTCTTTAATCCAAAAACCTTGTTTGGTAGACAATCTCATATCTTTCTGGTTAGAAACAGCTTTATTTTATAAATTGAAGATTATCTACCAAACAACTTTTTTGGATTAAAGAGACATTACATATAGACATATACATTATAATTTTGTATTTAAATATGATAATATACACAAAAAAATACAAAGGAAAATAAAGTAAAAATATGAAATGATTTGACGGACCGAGTCATTTTTGTTCCCATGTTATTGTTTTTTATGAGGCGTTGCGTTGCTGTATTGGTGATNATGTGAAAAATTGTAAAATAATATAGGCCTAATTTGTTATACATATGTATTATCTAAGATTTTATTAAACATTTTTTTCTAAATTATTGTTTTCTTTAGTCACTGGCCCCAATTAAAAATTATTTGTATGTATTTATATGCGAAATTATACCTTGACTTACGCGAATTTGACTTACGCGGTTTTCTCTCAGTCCCACCTATCGCATAAGTTCGAACTTATAATATGTATTTCTTCTAAAAAAAAGTAACTGTTTTCTGAAACCAAAACACTCCTTACTTCAGTATTGTTTAGTGCCTTCAAGAATACACCTACTCTTTAGGCTGATCACATGCACTTGGAAACAGTGGTGTACATAAGAAGAAAAATACTGTCCTGAGGACAGGGTCACACCTGACAAAAGGTTAACAAAGAAAATTGCTTTGTTTCAAAGTTTATTTTTTTTCATTTAAGCAGTTTTCTGATTTATTTAGATTCCATTTTAGACAGCGTTTATCATGTTAAAATATTATACATTATTAGTGTACGACTCGTGTTTATGTAGTGTACAATTGTTTGAAATAAGTCAAAGGCAATGGTAAAAAACTACTGAACTAACATTAATTATAATAATTAACTATGTACAAAGACTAGGCAGCCATCTTTCTGCTTTGTCTTATCAAAAACAACTAGTGCCCCCTGCTTTTTTTGCTTCTCGCCTCCTCGCGGGATTTCTCTATAAAAAACTTTTTACATCTTAGCTATGACTGCTTTTAGACAAAACAATAGCTTTTGTTTAAAATTCTTTTCTATCTTCCAGAGACATTAGTAACAGTATTTTTGTTTGTAGCTTCATTTGCATGTTGTCCTTCTCGATCGGTTCTTTGATAGTAAGGACAAATATGACTTACGTGTACGATTCTGTCATCATCTTGAATCCCTTCAATGAGATAGGTGACAGGATTAATCATCCTCTTTACTACATATGGACCTTTCCATTTGCTCTGAAATTTATGTCTGTTTAAACGACGTTATAATACTAAATCGTGTTCCTTAATCTTAGATTTGTGCTTATTTTTGTCAAAAGATGTTTTATTCTGATCATGAGCTTCAGCAAGATTTTCAACTGCTTGTACTCGATTAATAAATAGCTGAGTCAATCTATTCTCAGCGTCTTTCAATATTCTAATTATGCTGTCTAATTTTGGGTCGTTGCCTTGATGGCGTTTGATTTCACTAAAGATTTTCCTCTCCATGCTTAGCGTTTGTACGTTCAATTGTTGGATTGGATTTCTAGATAAAATGTCAGGTAGTACGTTGGTAGCTCCTTTCTTATGCTTAACATCATATTCATATTCCTGTAACTCTAAAGCTATGCGAGCGAGTTTTCGTCCAAGTTTTCTTTTAGTCTTCAAACAACTGATTGCCCAGTTATCAGTGTATAGGGTAAACTTCTTTCCAACCAAATAATGTCGAAATCTTTTACAAATGGCCCAGTGTACTGCGATCCCTTCGAGCTCGGTCGAATGAAGAATGCGTTCTGTATCACTGGTACTTCAACTTGCATATTCAACAACAACTTTCTTTCCATTTTGTACCTGCATGAGTACTGCTGCGATACCTTCTTGACAGGCATCAGTGTGTACCTCAGTTACAGCATCAGGGTCAAAGTGGGCAAGTATAGGTGCTTCTCTCAGACATTGTATCAATCTTTTAAAGCTATCTTCAGTTTCTTCGTTCCATTCATAGTTGTTTACTTTCATCATTCGTCTTAATGGTGCTGAAATCAAGGCATAGTTTGGAATAAACCTCCTGTAGTACGACATAAGTCCCAGGAAAGATTGTAACTGTTTCTTGGTCTTAGGTGTTTTTTATGTGACTAACAGCCTCTGTTTTCTTTGGATTTGGTCGTTTACCATCTCCATTCATAAGGTATCCCAAACAAGAAATTTCTCTTAATCCCCATTGGCATTTCTGTGGTGATATCCTTAAATGAGCTTTTGCTAGTATTGTTAGTACTGTTTTGATTAATTTCTTGTGGTGTTCGTAATCTGATGAAAACAAAATGATGTNTTCAACAACAACTTTCTTTCCATTTTGTACCTGCATGAGTACTGCTGCGATACCTTCTTGACAGGCATCAGTGTGTACCTCAGTTACAGCATCAGGGTCAAAGTGGGCAAGTATAGGTGCTTCCCTCAGACATTGAATCAATCTATTAAAGCTATCTTGAGTTTCTTCGTTCCATTCATAGTTATTTACTTTCATCATTCGTCTTAATGGTGCTGAAATCAAGGCATAGTTTGGAATAAACCTCCTGTAGTACGACATAAGTCCCAGGAAAGATTGTAACTGTTTCTTGGTCGTAGGTGTTTTTATGTGACTAACAGCCTCTGTTTTCTTTGGATTCGGTCGTTTACCATCTCCATTCACTAGCTATCCCAAACAAGAAATTTCTCTTAATCCCCATTGGCATTTCTGTGGTGATATCCTTAAATGAGCTTTTGCTAGTATTGTTAGTACTGTTTTGATTAAGTTCTTGTGGTGTTCGTAATCTGATGAAAACAAAATGATGTCATCTAGGTAAACTAGTATCCCTTCTTGTCCTTGAAATAATTCTGACATCGCCCTCTGAAAAGTGGCTGGAGCGTTACATAATCCAAATGGCATTTTGTTAAACTTGTACAATCCGTCTGCTGTAATGAACGCTGTCTTATGTATATCTTCTTCTGCCATCGGAATTTGCCAGTAACCACTCTTAAGGTCAAGAGACGAAAAGTATTTGGCATTATGTAACTTATCTAGAATATCATCTATTCTTGGTAATGGAAATGAGTCTCATTTTGTCTTGCTATTCAGATCCCGATAATCAATACAAAGTCATATTTTTGTCGTAACATGGTGAGGTTGTTTGGCTAAAACGACTGGAGATGCATACTGTGAATTTGACCTTCATATAATGTTTGATGAAAGCATTTCCTTTATTTTTTCATTAATAAATTCTCGATCACTCCAAGAATAGTGGTATGGGGTTTTCCTTACTGGTGTTTTGTCTGTCAGTTCTATACGATGATGAACTCTATTATATTCTCCCGGTTTATTTTGTAATATATGGTCATATTGTCTAATTAACAGTTCAATTTCCTTCCTTTGTTCTTCATTTAACATTGATTCCTGGCTCTCTGTGCTTTGTAGTATGAATTCCTCTGGGTTTGATAGTTCATCACATTCCTCAGGTTGGGAATGATAGTTCCATTGGTCTTCAAACGTAGTCTTACTCTCCATTGTATGTATTGCTACAGCACTAGGAAGTAACAAGCACAATTCTTGTATTTCTTCTTCAATGGGAGGTTTGCTGGAATCACATCACCATCTCTTGTGACTATTTCACACTTATCTTCCTTCAATGTCATTTTCACTCCTGCTTGGCCAATCCAATCTATTCCCAAAGTCAAAGGAACTGGGTTGTTCTCGAACACGGCCATTTTCACTGTCGTGACTTGGCCTTGCAACTGAATAGGTAGATCAACAAATCCAATTGGTTTTACCTTTGTCATGCCAATACCAGTAAACTCAGTGGTGTTGTCATCTAACATCCTTATACCATCAGGTAATTGATCCCGACGAATTATTGTACGACATGAACCTGTATCAACAAGGGCTCTTATCTTTCCTATCATTGACACTTCAACATTAATATATGGGCTATGAACTTTAGAAGCGTTAGCATTGATGTTTAAAGCATTGTTCTTTTGTTTTTGTTTCTTGCTGTCTTTAATCTCTTTTGAGCCTCCTCTTTCAGCTTTATATTCATTGGTCTGTGCAATATTTTCATTTGGACACGTCTTGGCTAGATGTCCTAACTGTTGACATTTGTAACATCGGGTCATTTGTAAAGGCATCTGAGCATTCCACTTGGGGTCTCTTCTTATCGACTTCTCGTCTGTATGTTTAATAAAATCAACTGCAATAGCCGGATCCTTTAATCGAGCATTCGTATTATTTGAGAACTTATGAGGTTGTTGAACTTGAGTCTTCATATGCATCCTGGCCTCAGTCTCTTGCTCATCTATCTTGCGTGCTATACGCTGTAGTTCTGCAATATTGTGCACATCATGAGTAGCAATAGTAACTGTGTGTTGTTTATTTTTTATTCCATCCAGCAAATAATCAATTTCGTCAGCTTCAGTAACATTTACAGGACAGTTAGTACGCAACAAACACAGCTTAGCATAGAAATAATCTGTGAGACTTTCATCTTGTCTTTGTTCTCTTTCTTTCACTCTGTCACACCACATTCTCAACGTCAGTCTTTTACCAAATTCGCTTTTTAAGCTTGTCTTCCATTCAGTCCAATTGTTAAGCTGGTAACCAATTGCTTTATGCCAGTTTTTCGCTGCTCCTCTCAGTTTGCTGATGGCTAGCGGAAGAACTTGGGTCTCAGCTAGTCTCTGTTGATTTCGAGTCAATTCAATATAATTCAACCATTCGTCAGCACTCTCTGTAGTAGTACCACCAAATTCAGGAAGAGAACTTGTCAAATCAGGTACAGTTTGGACTTCAATAACTGTCTCCTTTAAGTTTCGCACTGCCTGTTGCTGGTCTATTAATATTACTTTTTCCATTAACGTTTGCATCATACTCGTAGGATTTGGATTTACAGCTTGATCTTCAGAAGGAGATTCGTTAACGACTTGTTCCTCTTTTGCCTTGCTAGTTTCGCTAACATTCTCTTTTTCACTTAACATTGCGCTAGTTAATCGTTCTATTAGTTCAGATTTTTTACCAACTCGTGATAATTGCCTTTTCTCCAATTCCTCTTTCAAATATTCCTTGGTCCTTCCTTCTAAATCATGTTTAATTTCTTCAACCGCAGACATATTAGCTTCTAACCCAATCACGATCGTCAACTTAAATTCTTTACTTTTTTTCTAATATCGGCGCTAAATCTTTAAGCTATTGCTTCCTAGAGTTAGCTCTTAAGCTTTTCTACGACTTTGATTTGGTTACGACTAAAGTTTTACACTTTTAACTTCAATCTTAAACTTCAAGACTTCCTACCTTCGTCCGTGCGCCTTACTTGTTTTGGCTCGTTTCTTGTAGACGTGGTTGGTAGCGGCACATCAGCTAATCCCGTCGACTGCGCCAATTCTTGTACGACTCGTGTTTATGGAGTGTACAATTGTTTGAAATAAGTCAAAGGCAATGGTAAAAAAACTACTGAACTAACTTTAATTATAATAATTAACTATGTACAAAGACTAGGCAGCCATCTTTCTGCTTCGTCTTATCAAAAACAACTAGTGCCCCCTGCTTTTTTTTCTTCTCGCCTCCTCGCGGGATTTCTCTATAAAAAACTTCTTACAATTAGCTTATTTTTTAATGTTCTGAAATACAATAGAAAGATAATTCAGATGCTCTCACAACTGAAGTTTACTAAATAAGAGTAAGTAACAGATAAGTGATAGATAATAATAAAAAACTATGTATATGTATTGAACACAAGCATACTCAGCAACTAATAAGGTGTTGGTTATGTTGGTTACTGGATTTGTTTATGTATATGTAATAAAAATGCAAAAATATTTAATTAGTGCTTCATTTATAATGTTTTAAAAATATACAATTAAATTTTATAAACATATTTTGGAAACTGCAATTCCTATAATTTGTTTTGATTTTGCCATGTGTAAAGAAAGATTTTTCTTAAACTGAGGAATTAAATTAAGACTAAGAAGTAGAAATGAAACAAAGATAGATTTAAAAAGTTTATACTTTATATTAACTTTTGATTCGTCTTTTTATATTATGACTTTTAAATCATAATAATAATAAATAATAAGATAAAATATTTTAATTTTGATATTATTCAATATTATTTAGTCATTTAAAGTAATCTTGTCAATTTGTACTATTTATTTTTTTAGCTGAAAATTCACAATTGGACACATGGAAACAAGCTGGTGTTTATTGTGGCCGCAAAGATCCATTTGAGATACATTCACCATCTAATATAATGAAAATTACATTTACATCTGATGAGTTTTATAATGATGTAAGAGGATTCAAAGCAGAAGCATCTTCTGGTTAGTAGTAGTGATCAATTTATTGAATTTATAATCGGTATAAATGTTTGAAGTTTAATTAAATTATTTCTAAAAAATGAAGTTTCTTTAGTCTTTCAATAAATTATTTTTTTATTTAAAACTAATCAATATATTGGAAACAAAATATATATATAAATATAATGAAATTTATTGGAAAAGTATTATTTATTTTTTTTGTATAGATTAGAAAACAATGATAAATCATAAATAATAATTAAGTTCATTCAATTCATATGTATATGAAGAATAAATTCAAGGACTTAAACTGGGTATATGTAATTAAGCACTACACAAAACCAATATCCAGCAAGTAATTATTTTAATTGATTATTGATATTTTTGATAATCTTCAAAATGCCTTATGAACTGTATTAAACAGTAGTCAAACTTAATAGCTTATAATAATTTTACAAGTTAAGAATAATAAATTTAATAAAGAATTAGATGAATTAGGTACCTGAAATTAATTTTTTTTTTATGTTTTCAAAAATTTTGTCTTTTAAATTTATTTAAAAAGTGTTTTGTCTAAAAAAAATCATATAAAAAAACATTACAATTAACAAATCCTTTGTGATTCTTGTTTGCCCACTAAGGTAAAATACCCAACAAACCAAACTCGCAGCAGATATGAGAAAAATTATTTCATTCACTTGTGATTTTATCTATATACAGATACAATAAAGGATGCCAACTCTAGGACAGTTACTCTGACAGTAACCCAAAACTCGATTACTGGCAGAACAATTACAAAATTTATAACACCATAACACTCAAATCATGATATTTGTAACCCATACAATAAACAACAATAATTATAAGCAATCCTTAATACTAAACATACAATAATATGGAAAAATAAAGATAGGAGGAAAGAAGTAGTAAACATGGCATACAGAACAGAACAAAGATAGCCACGTCCTGCAAACATCTTTTCATCCTCATTGTCTTGAGATGCCACATGAAACTTCTTACACCAAAATTACACTTTCTTCTTTTTTTTCTCAGTTCCTGAAAGCTATAACTAATCAGTCAGTTACTTTAGTGGTCCCCAACCTTTTTATCGCTGNAATATTGAATAATATTATTTAGTCATTTAAAGTAATCTTGTCAATTTGTACTATTTATTTTTTTAGCTGAAAATTCACAATTGGACACATGGAAACAAGCTGGTGTTTATTGTGGCCGCAAAGATCCATTTGAGATACATTCACCATCTAATATAATGAAAATTACATTTACATCTGATGAGTTTTATAATGATGTAAGAGGATTCAAAGCAGAAGCATCTTCTGGTTAGTAGTAGTGATCAATTTATTGAATTTATAATCGGTATAAATGTTTGAAGTTTAATTAAATTATTTCTAAAAAATGAAGTTTCTTTAGTCTTTCAATAAATTATTTTTTTATTTAAAACTAATCAATATATTGGAAACAAAATATATATATAAATATAATGAAATTTATTGGAAAAGTATTATTTATTTTTTTTGTATAGATTAGAAAACAATGATAAATCATAAATAATAATTAAGTTCATTCAATTCATATGTATATGAAGAATAAATTCAAGGACTTAAACTGGGTATATGTAATTAAGCACTACATGAAACCAATATCCAGCAAGTAACTATTTTAATTGATTATTGATATTTTTGATAATCTTCAAAATGCCTTAAGCCCTGGTCACACTATGCGATTTCTAGCTGCGCAGGCGACTGCAACTGCAACAAGAACGAGTCGCGCGCGTCTTCTCGTGGTCACACATTGTTCGTTGACGTTGCAACTCGGAAATACGTGACCCTATAATAAACCAATAAAATTACAGTAGCTTGTTTTTGACTACTTTCGTGAGTTTGCCGATATTTTACGTTTTACTTCAGAGTATTTACGGAATTTTAGCCACTTTTTTTATTAAAATAGCAAACAGTTCCTTTTCTGGAATGAATAAAAGAAAAAAGGCGATTATTTTAATATACCTGGCGAAAATACATGAAAAGATAAAATCTTCGATAAAACGAAGAATTGAAATCCCACAGGTATTTGTGAGCCTGAGTAAGCTCGATCAATCTCGATTCTGTAAAAGTATTAATCCTCTGACTATC